GCTCCTCATGAGCGCGCCAAGGGGCTGCTGGGTCAGCACATGGACGACATGGGCCTGGAAGTAGTGCTACAGCTTCTTCACCGTATGGATGATGGCCAGCACCGTCTTCTCAATGGGGGAGTACCTGAGCTCGGCCTCCCTGAGCGTCTTGCTGATGTAGAAGATGGCCTTTTGCACCCTTCGTCCTCACGGATGAGCACGGAGCTGATGGCCGACGTGCTCACCCCTAAGTACAAGAAGAGGGTTTCGCCGGCTTTGGGCTTGGAGAGCACGGGTGGGGACGACAGATACCTCTTCAGCTCTTCGAACGCTTCATGGCACTCCGTCGTCCGTTTGAAGCTGTTGTCTTTACGCATGATCTGGAAGAAGGGGAGTGCCCTTTCGGCTGACCTGGAGAGGAAACGGTTCAGGGCCGCCAGGCGCCCCGTCAGTCGTTGTACTTCCTTTACGTTGCGGGGCGGCTCCATGTTGATGATAGCCTTTGTCTTCTCCGGGTTTATCTCGATGCCTCTCCGGCTCACCATGTAGTCGAGGAACTTGCCGCCTTGGACGCCGAAGGCGCACTTCTTGGGGTTGAGGCGGAGCCTGAACTCCTTCATGATCTCAAAGATTTCCCGGAGGTCGTCGGCATGGGTGGAGGCCTGCCTGCTCTTGACGATCATGTCATCGACGTATGTCTCCATCGTCCGGCCGAGGACGGCTCTGAAGATCTTGGCCACCATCCTAGTGTAGGTGGCACCGGAGTTTTTGAGTCTGAAGGCCATGACGAGGTAGCAAAAGATTCCCTCCGGTGTCATGAACGCCGTCTTCTCAACGTCATCTTCATGCATGGAAATTTGGTGGTACCCTCTGAAAGCATCAAGGAACGACATCAACTCGCACCCCACCGTCTCGTCCACCAGCTGATCAATGTTGGGGAGAGGGAACGGGTCCATGGGGCACGCCTTGTTCAGGTTAGTGTAATCAACACACATTCTGAATGTCGGCGGTTTTTGGGCGAGGACGATGTTGGCTAGCCACGTCGGGTACTTCACCTCTTTGATGTGGTTGATTGAGAGGAGCATGGCGACCTCCCCTTTGACGAAGTCCTGCCTGTCGGCGGATAAGTAGTGCCGGTTCTGCTTGACAGGCGCGATGGCCGGATCGACGGTCAGTCGGTGAGTGATCACCTGGCGGCTGATGCCTGGCATATCGTCCGGGCCCCATGCGAAGATAACGGCGTACGACCGTAGGACGAGGAGGATGGCATCCCGCTGGTCCTGCGGGAGTTGCTTCCCGATCCTGAGAACCCGCTCCGGCCGGGAGGTATCCAGAGGGACTTCCTCGACCTCCTCGGCCGGTTCAGCATGCGGCCTCTCCTCGTCCTTGGCAACGGCTGCCGTGATGGTGTCTATCCTATGTCCTTCCCTTTCGGCCGGCCTCATTAGTTTGAGGTAGCATGCTCTGGCTATCCTCTGGTTTCCTCTGGCGTAGCCGATGCCGTCATTGGTGGGGAACTGCAGACACAAATGCTTCATGGAGATGATGGCCTCCAAGTCCTCCAGTGCTGGCCGCCCTAAGATCAGGTTGTGGGCGCACTGGAGGTGGACCACCATGAACTCCATGTCAATTGTGGCGCGGTGGGGGCCGTCACCGACCTCCACGGGGAGGACTATCATGCCCTCGGCGTCGATAGAGTCCCCGGTGAAGCCGGATAACGGTGTCTTGATCGGCTTCAACAGAGCTTTGTCCAGCTTCAGCTGCCTGAAGGTGTCCAGGTACATCACGTTGACGGAGCTCCCCGTATCGATGTAAGTGCGGTGGATGATGGTGTCACCGATCTCACACCGGATGACGAGGGCATCCCTGTGTGATTCCGTACCCGGGGGCAGATCCTTGTCGGTGAAGGTGATCGCCTCTGTTCGCTGCTTCTTCGGCTGGGGGGAACGTGGGACACCTCCCCTATGTAGAGGGACTGGGTCCATTTCTTCCTCTGGGTGGCGGAGTCCCCCCCAGTGTTCCCACCCACAATGAGGTGAATGTGGTTCTTCTTTGGCGGGGGCTCTTCGAAGTCCTCGTCGTCGCTGAGCCTGCCGATCTCCCGCTTCTTCGCAGAGGGTTCGCCCCCTGGTTTGCCGGTGTTTACCCATGTATTTTTGCGTGGGCCACCTTTAACAAACTGGGAGAGTTTCCCCTGACGAATAAGGCGCTCGATGGCTTTCTTCAGCGTGATGCAGTCGTCGGTGTTGTGCGAGTTCTTGTGAAACCGGCAGTATGTGCCGCCCTGCTGGATGGCAAGGACCTCGTCGGCCGGCCGAAGAGCCTGCTCGATGAGGCCAAGCTTCTCGGCATAGTCGAGGATGGTGCCGACCGGGTGAGTGAGGGCAACCCCCGGCCGTTCCAACCTCGGCTGCCAGTGGCGATCTTTCTTACTTTGTCCACCAGAGCCGTGACGGCCCTGGGCACCCTGGACGGCCGGGGACGGACCCGGGGCCGGCGAAGGATTTGTCTTCTTGGAGGGATGGCCTCCCTCTTTCTTGTGGTTGTGGAGCTCGTCGGCGTCGGCGTACAAGCTTCCGCGCTGGAGCGCCTTGGCGTACGACTTTGGAGGGTCGGTGATGAGGCTCCTGGCGTACGGGGAGCTGCGGAGGGCTCCCTGGTACAGGACGAGGAGGGTGCACTCATCGGCCCCCTCGACTTCTTCGGTCTCCCTCGTCCACCGATCAATGAACGACCGGAGGGACTCATCATGTTGTTGTTTGACGAAGAGGAGGTGAGTGAAATACTTCTTCGCGCGCTTCCTCCCGGCAAAGTGGGTGAGGAAGCGTTGAGCAAGGTCCTGCCATGAGTCAATACTCCCTTCGGGGAGCGCGTTGAACCACTCATACGCTGGCCCCTCAAGAGTAGAGAGGAACCAACGGCAGAGATATTCATCCGACGCGTTCACCATCAGCATGTTGTTCTGATAGCGGCTGAAGTGCTTCTGGGGGTCTGATCGGCTATCGTAAGACTTGATGGCGTTCCCCTGTACTTTTCCGGGATGGGGGCCGAGAGCACCCTGTTGGTGAAAGGGATCCTGGTCCTGACCTGGATGATGGGGTCACCTCGCCCTTCGGCCAACTCCCTCTCCAGGGCGCTGACCTTGTTAATGAGTGCGTTGAGGCCGGGGTCGTTGGAGGCGCCAGCCGTGGGGGTGTTGGCCTATTGCCTGGCCTCCATCTGAGCAAGCCTCCTTTCCAGCTGGGCGATGACCTCGTCCCGGGGGTCCCTGGCAGCCACAGCGGCGCCCTGCTGGTTTCTCATGCGCTCGTCGTGGGCCGCATTGATCTGGTGGCGCATGTCGTCCTCGTGCAGCTTCCCCTTGCCCTTGTTCAGGCGGGGCTGGTCCGCTGTCCGGGACACAGACCCCAAGCTTTCCCTTGGCGAGCCAGGCCGACGCTCACCAATCTGCCCTGCCATCCTCTCCGAAACTGGACGACGGTGCGTGTCACCTAGCCTATTGGAAGCAGAGGCTTTTCCACGCGCTCGGGTCTGCCCAGGCCGAAGAGGAGAAACGGGGTGGGAGTGGGACGACGCCGTGTCCTGGGCCATCACGCCCTCATCGTTGCCTATCTGGACGGCCAACGGTTGGGGCTGAGGAGGTGGAGTGACGTTCCCCTCGGTCCTTGGCAAGAGTGCGCTGAGGACGGTGGGGTTCTGGGCCAAGCTGGCGATGATGACCGACAGCGCGGCCTGGACCTGTGGATCCACAGACGGAGAGGCTGCGGCCATAGGCTGGGCCGGGGCGTGGTCTGTCTTCTCAGCTCGTTTCTTGTCCAAGCCGATGCGGGCATCAGGGGCTCCGCCGTTGAGTTGGTTGTCGGGTCACAAAAATGCTGAACCGAGCCCGCCCCGCCCCTTACCCCCGGTTCGGGCCCAGACCCGGTCCCCGACCGCCCGACCGGGCCGGTCCCGGGCCCGCACAGTACCGGGCCGGGCCGGGTCACGGGCCGGGTGGCCCGAACCGAATCCATCCCTAGGCACGGCCGACGAGGACACTCAGGTTCCTTGGCCTCAAGATCATATTCTGGATCGGCCCCTCTTCGGCCGATGAGGGTCTTTCGGTCGACGAGGGCACCGTGTAGTGACTGTGTTTTCTGTTCTGAGTATGTGGGTCCTGGAGCCTAGACCCATATACTCCATCAAGTACATTTCGTGCTTTGCTTAGGGGTGGACCCGGTCGGCGGTCCCGGACCGGAACCGGACCCGCTACTGTGCGGGACCGGACTGGGTCCGGTTTTCCGGTCCCGGTCTCGAACCGGGTACCTGACCAGGTAATTCCAGACTCGGTCTCGGGTAAGCAAAATGGGGACCGAACCGGGCGGTCCCGGTCCCAACGGCTAATTTTTTTTAAAATTTATTAAGGGGGGCTGGGTGGGGCTGGGGTAACACTAGCCGTTTGGAACGTCTAGTAACGCCTATAAGGCCGTTGGGGAGGGGTTTGGGGGTGGGGGTTACCAAAATTTGTTCACATATATACCTACTCATTTTATACATTTGTTCACACTATTCTACTTCTACTCAAATTCTATATTCTCATTTCTCAAACTCAATCACTAATTCTACTCTATTCACATTTACACTTTCATCTTTCATATATTCATATTATAATTATATTTATATACTTATTAATAATTACACAATAATACTATATTAATAGTTATAATTTCTATTTGTACATTCCTACTCCTACTCTTTAAATCCTTCTTATTAAATATATTATATTACAATTATATTTATATACTCCTACACTTTCATATTTAACATATATATTTAATTATATACATTTTTTATTGTAGTTAACTAGTTCCTACTTCCTAGATTTTTGTTAATTAGTTCCTACTTTTTGTATAAATAAGTAATTGTTATACATTAATATATATAACATATATATATACATATTGTTATACATTAATATATACATACATTATATTACAATTATAATTATATACTCCTACACCGACACCGGAAGCAACTTCGAAGAATAGTTCATGTAATTTTCAACTTGAAACTATTCTCAATTGTAATTTTCAAATGTGATATTGATACAAGTGAGTCACTGACAATTCACCGAAGCTTTGAATTAACCGAAGCTTTGGTTAACCGAAGTATCGGTTAACCGAAGTATTGATACAACTTGAAAATTTTGGTTAACCGATACTCAATTAACCGAAGCTTTGGTTAACCGAAGTATCGGTTAACCGAAGTAACAAGTTTCACGGTTAACCGGAAAGTTGGTTAACCAAAATCCGGTTAACCAACCATGCCCACCCCTACAAGTGACATTATAGTGTTTAAAATAAATATACATCATTGTACAATAATTTTAAAAAAAATGACCGTGCCGACCCGAGACCGGACCGGAACCGGCCAGGTAGACCGGACAGGAACCGGGTCCGTTGAAACCCAAGTCAGTTCCGGTCTTCACTTTTAATACCCGGGACCGGCCGGTCCGGGACCGGAACCGGACCAAGTCCATCCCTATCTTTGCTTCCTTTTCGAATGGTTTTTCAATGGTTTGATCCACTTTCCACTTTATTTGAATAAAAAGAAGGAATTGCTTTCTAGGCAACCAAACTATATCACTACTACTTGCTTGCCACACTTCTATTACAATTCTTGCAATCTTGCCCAACCAAACATCTTGCAACAAGACCAAGTAACCAACCACTTTGGCTCATAATGTAATTCTTCTGATGGTCTTCTTCCTTCATAGAATTATAGAAACATCATCTTGTAGCAGCAATCAAGTCTGATAAGTCCTTCAATCTGCATAAATGACACCAACAAGCTATAAACTAGAAAATAAGGTCTATGGTAACAATTAACAATTTCACCCTCCATTAAAGAAACTGTCCATTAATTAAAAGGGGTTTATTCACAAATAATCTACACATTTAGCGATCTAATAAGATTACTACAAGCTTATTTGATGATATCTAGAATGCTTGAAGTTGTTGACTATATTGAACGATCTTATTTAGAATATATTTCTTAAATTAAAGGAAAAAGGGGCAAATAAGCCCACATACTAACCAAAAAAGGTCAAATAAGCCCTTATATAGGAGGCTATGTCCGGCCGTCGTCATTTGGGGCGGTTCCCGGTGGAAATTTTTGATGCAATTTTTTGAGCATATTATTCATCAAGTCTAGTTTACTCATACCAAATTTCAGCTAAAACTTCAATCGAGAAGGCATTCAAATGAATTCTTGAAGATAACTGCGCAGTTAAAAGCGCAGTTATCTTCAAGAATTTATTTGAATGCCTTCCCAATTGAATTGTTAGCTAAAATTTGATATGAGTAAACTAGACTTAATGAATAAGATTCTCAAAAAATTCATCAAAAAATCCACCGGGAACTGCCCCAAATGGCGACGGCCGGACAGAGCCTCCTATATAAGGGTTTATTTGACCTTTTTTTGTTAGTGCGTGGGCTTATTTGCCCCTTTTTCCTAAATTAAATGAAGTTCAACAACAACAACAACACTCAAGTCTTAGTCCCAAATGAGTTTGGAATCGGCGAATCGATACATGAAATTGAAGTTAAAAAGGTAAGGAAGATAAAAAGATAAGGAAGATAAAAAAGATACGATGAGATAAAAAAGATAAGATAAAAATGTACCTAACATTACTCAAGTCCTGATAAGCAAAGGCTGCTTTGAAATGGTGAACTCAACAAAACTGGCCAAATCCTTTACACGTACCTAACATTACTCAAGTCCGGATATTTTGCAATAGCTGCTTTGAAATCCTGATTAGCGGTGGATGAAGTATAAGTGATCACACATGACATCCCTGCACTTGTTGCAGCCTGAAGAAATTGTGCAATATACATATATTATAGCTTGTTGTGAATAATAATCCGATAAATGTGAATGCATATGGAGCAAAACACATCAGATAGATATCCAAGGTGGCAAGGAATAATGCATATGGAGCAAAACACATCAGGTAAAATATCCAAGGAATAATTCCATATGGCAACTGTGCAATCAGGCAATCACATATGGAGACAAACAAATATGACAATTCATGCAATGACACAATCAAAAGAGAAAAAATATATATATGCTCTCAATTGTACATGGACATGTTCTCTTTACCTGAATGTTTCCAGTTTGTTTGGTCTTGACTGGTCTGGTTAGGATTGGTTTCATGTATCTAGTCTGGTACTAATGACAGTTCAAGATAACAGGTTCTGTCTAATTTTCTATGTTCACTACTATCATACTAGATCAACTCTTTTTCTATATTCTCTTTATTTTGATTACTTCTATAACAAGCAATTATGAAATACTGATTAAACACCATAATTGGAAGAATGACTAGCACGAATTAGATAGATTCATTCTTTTATTAACAATTCTTGAGATATATATGGAGTATGGTTTTAGAATGAAGTCAAGAACAGTATAAACCTGGAGTCCGATGACACTATCCTCTACCACCAAACAATTTATGTTGGGCACACCAAGCCGCTGCAAGATAATACTTATACTAATAATAGTAATATAAAAAATAATTATAATGATAATAATACAACTAACAATAGTAATACATCTTCATATCAAAATAGAATGGGTAAATATTGTACTACGTATTATTGTAGACTGAAAGTGAAAATGCTAAAACCTTGGCAGCTGTTACATATATTGAAGGATGTGGCTTTTTTTCTATCACATCATCACCTAAAGAAATGGAAACAAAACAAGTTCAGACAAATATATATGACTTGAGGATTGTACAACACGTATGACTAAAACGTCTTTGTTTTTCTCATAATATGTCTTACATGTTTTTTCTCCTAATGTAATACGATACTATTAGTTATCCTATCCACACAAGCCGCCCTTTTAAAAAAAAAATCGTTCTAGCATTGCCCCACGGTATATTCATACACTCATCTTGATTAATATGTAGTTAATACATTCCTTATTGTTCACATTTTCATACCATAACTGTTTTTTCATTTATTAAAATTTCCACAGAAATAGGTATCCGATATTCTTTTGATTAGAAGCATGTTCCATTTGTTAACTCACATCTCTAGCCTTTATGCATTTCCATCTTCTCCAACCTTTTATATCTTCTCCAACCATGATTTTCCCTATTTTGATGTGTTTGCAGATGCATGTAACTGGTAGGTTAGGGTCAATTGTTTTGGAATCCTTCCTTGACTACAGTCTTTAAAAATCGGACTCAGCCAATTTTCACTTCATCTTCTAAATTTATGGGAGATTTCGTTGATTCTTTCCTATCCTAGAGCCAACCTTCGAAAGTTGCGACTCCACTACGCTGGTTTGTGTCTAAGGTCATTCAATTCTCTTCATATTTAGGGATGTCATTTTGATAAGGACCCGGCTAGCCTAACTAATAGGAATAGATTCTATGGGCAAGTCTATTCTAGAAAGTCAAAGTTGACTAGCTAGTTATTAGTTAAAAGCTGTTAGTAACTAATAACTACCTTCGTTATGTGAAGGATATAAATAGAATAAATCTGCAGAGGGAAGGCAGGCTGTTGTTAGATCTTTTGACTGGGACTGGGAAGTTGGAGTTCTATCTCCTTCTTTGGGACAAACTTTGTACGGTTTACCTCCATTGAATGAAATCACAGTTTTCTTTCTTTCTTCCTGGTTAATTTCTGTTAAATTGTACTGGAATTGTGAAGAACCTATCATTGGTATCAGAGCGTCGGTCGCTGGATGATACACATGCGCGCCAAAATGGAAGGACGGATCAATGAAGTCGAGAAAACTTTGTCAGATGTGGGAAGAAATCAACGTGAAATACAAGCAAATTTGGAGAGAAGTAAGAGAGAGATGCATGCGATGATGACGGCGATGCAAGCTAGCATCGCTGATATGCAGACGAAACTTCCAGGTAGATCGCGAAGCCAATCGCATCATTCTCATGCTTCGCACCGCTCTTCCCAACATAGACACACGAGGCGTAATGGAAGTTCTGAAGGATCAGATACTCATTCCGATCATGATGTATCACAGGAGGAGCATGATCGTCGCAGAAATCATCGGAATCCACCTATGGCTGGGAGGAAGATCGATTTACCAATTTTCAGTGGAAAGGATGCTGGCGGTTGGTTAATGAGGATGAATCGATACTTCCGTTTGAATAGAACAGAAGAAGAAGAAGAAGACAAATTGGATGTTGCAGTTATAGCATTGGAAGATCAAGCTCTAAGTTGGTTCCAATGGTGGGAGAGACAAGCTCTACATCTAAATTGGGACTCGTTTACGAAGGCTTTGATCAAGAGATTTCAACCGGAAGTGGTACAGGACCCACTGGGGTCTTTGTTCAGTTTGAAGCAGAAAGGTTCTATAGCTGAGTATAGAAACCTATTTGAAACAGCCATTGCTTCACATGAACACTTGACTGAGGAAGTGTTGAAAGGAGTCTTTCTTAAAGGTCTGAAAAGGGATATAAGAGCGGAATTGAAGTTATATTCTACCAGAACTTTAGCTGAAGTTATGGATACAGTTTCCTTGATTGAGAACAAAAATATTGAAGCTGTTTTTGTGAAGAATAAGGAGGAAAGTAAGAAGAAGAGTCAGAACAAGGTTATCAGTCAGTCATCAGGGCAGAATTAAAGTGAAAGCAGCCGGTGGAGAAGTCATCCAGGAACTACCAACAACCTTGGAAATTCTCCTAAGGTGACGGTTGATAATAAAAACAACAATGAGGTGAAGGAACAGATGATGATGAGGCAGGGGCCTAGATTATCTCAAGAAGAATTACTGGAGAGAAGTAAAAAGGGCTTATGTTTTAAATGTGGGGAAACTTGGGGAAGAGGACATGTTTGTAAAATGAAGAATTACAAGATGATTCTAGTAGAGAATTCTGAAGGAGAGGAAATCTCTGATGTGGAATATGAAGAATCAGAAGGGAGCCAGTACAATAATTCAAATCAGATGGACATGAATAAAATGCAGCTATCCATTTTAAGCAAGGAGGGCATTCCCTCCATGACGACTTTCAAGGTGAGAGGGAAATTGAAGTGGCATGGGAAAGAGAAGGTGGTAACTATCCTTATTGACAGTGGGGCCACACATAACTTTATGTCCAAAGTTTTGGCAGAAAGGTGGGATATCCCTTATAATCCAATCAAGGGGTATAAGGTACAAATAGGGAATGGGGATCACATTCCTAATCTGGGCCAATGCACTGAAGTTGGTGTCAATGTACAAGGAGTTGATATTCATCAAACATTTTATGTACTGGAATTGGGAGGAATTGATTTAGTCTTGGGAATGGAATGGTTGACTGAACTGGGGAATATGGAGGTCAATTTTAAACAGCAAATAATCAAATGGAAGAATCAGGGAGTCACTTGCATGATAAAAGGCAACAATGTAGCAAATCAGATGGAGGTTTCAATGAAAACTATGGCTCAAATACTACACCGGGTGGGGGATGGTTATCTGTTATACTATGAGGGACAACAGGAGATTCATGAACAGAAAACAGATGGAGGAGAATGGGAAGGGTTGATTGCAGAATTTCCAGAAGTATTCACAGCAACTCTGAAATTTCCACCTACCAGAGAATGTGATCATGCCATTAATATTAAGGAAGGAGCAGATATACCCAATATCAGACCATACACGTACTTATTTGATCAGAAGAATGAAATTGAGAAAATTATAGCTGAAATGTTGAAGTCTGGAATTATTAAAAACAGCAATAGCCCTTATAGTAGCCCCATTCTTTTAGCTAGGAAGAAAGATGGGGGTTGGAGGTTCTGTGGAGACTATAGGGCTTTAAATAAGGTGACCATACCTGATAAGTTTCCTATTCCAGTGATTGAGGAACTTCTTGATGAGTTAGGTGGTGCCAGAATTTTTTCAAAGTTAGATCTTAAAGCAGGCTATCACCAGATCAGGATGAAGGCCAGTGATACTCATAAGACAACATTTAGGACTCATGATGGGCATTATGAGTACCTAGTTATGCCTTTTGGGCTGACAAATGCACCATCAACTTTTCAATCTCTTATGAATGAGGTGTTGAGACCTTTTCTGAGGAAATTTGCTCTAGTGTTCTTTGATGATATCTTAGTTTACAGTAAAACTAGAGAGGATCATAAAGAGCACTTAAGAAAAGTACTGGGAGCTTTACAAGATAATCAATTGGTAGCAAATCTCAAGAAGTGTTCATTTGGACAGGATCAACTGAGTTATCTGGGTCATATAATTTCTGCAGAAGGGGTGGCAGCTGATCTTGAGAAAATTGTAGCTATGAAGAACTGGCCTATACCCAGAGACTTGAAGGAACTCAGGGGATTCCTGGGGTTAACTGGGTACTACAGGAGGTTTGTAAAAGGGTATAGTAAGATTGCTGCACCTCTTACTCTTTTACTCAAAAAGGATGGGTTTAAATGGGGAGAATTGGCTACTAAAGCTTTCAATGATCTGAAGGAGGCCATGACTTCATTACCTGTTTTGAGGGTACCGGATTTTACAAAACTGATTGTGATAGAGACAGATGCTTCTGGAAGAGGTCTGGGTGTTGTGCTTATGCAGGAGGGGGGTCCTATTGCCTACATGAGTAAAGAATTATCACCTAGACATTTGACTAAATCTATCTATGAGAAGGAACTCATGGAAATTGTGTTTGCCATTCAGAAGTGGAGACCTTACCTTCTTGGGAGAAACTTTGAGGTTCATACTGACCAAAAAAGTTTGAAGCATTTGACTGAACAGAAGGTAATGGGGGAAGACCAAGAAAAGTGGATAGCTAAATGATAGGGATGCTGGGAGCCAGTCCTATTTTGATAATAATATTAAGTATTTTGATCATGTATACTCAAGGAGGAATAAGGGTCATAATAAGTAGCTATATGTTACTAGTTATCGGATGGGGGGAATATTACTATAAATAGCTAGGTCCTTGTAATAATTGGCAGGCTGGTATTGGCTTGTATTGGGCTGGGACTTGGAGAGAGGCATCTCTTAAAACTGCCAGACACTATTTCTCTCTCTTGTTTGTTATACGATCTTCCTCCATTACTGTGCATTGTCCCTTTTTCTCCAATTCTGCTGCTAGATTATTGTTCGCAGGTCTGATTTCCTATCATTGGTATCAGAGCTGACGATCAGAGGACCTGTTTATGGTGGCGGCGAGAAGAAAAATGAATGACCGAGTGGAAAACTTGGAGCGAGAATTGGCGCGACAATCTGCAGAGATTGAGCGCGAGCTGGCAAGGCACCGCGAAGAGGCCAGGCTAAGGGATGAGGAGGCTCGCGAGGAAGCCAGGAGGAGGAGCGAGGAAGTCAAAAGTGACCTCGATGACATTCGCGAGCTGCTGAGACATAAACATCGCCATCATTTCCGCGAACGATCATCGCACTCTATGGCGAGTACTAGACATGGAAGCAGTGACTCACGTTCAATCTCAGGTAGTCATCGATCCCCTTCCTCCAAACCGATTGATAACCGACGTAGTTGGATGGAGAAATCTGGAAGAAAAGTTGATTTACCTTTATTTAATGGCACTAATGCATATGGTTGGACTATTAAGGTGGAGCGTTTTTTTAAATTGAATCAAATTGATGAGGAGGAGAAGGTTGATCTAGTAACTCTGGCCATGGAGGGAAGGGCTTTAAACTGGTATCACTTGTGGGAGGAGCACTCGAATGTCAGAACCTGGGAATTGTTTAAAGGGGCTCTGTTG